AACTATATTTAATTACGTCCACATCTCGTTTTCACGTCGGTTCTCTTAATAATAGGTTGATACATTTAGTAATCTACGAAAAATTTGATGAATCTCGAGAACTCTTGTTAATAAATTTCCCGTATCTAGTTGAATTTCGTTTAAATGCAGCCACTGCTTATTAATATGCATGTTCAGTTACTGAAATAACTGAAAACAATTAAACTAGATATAATAGTGTACTAATTATGGATATCTGCCCAGTCATGGATTATTATTTAATTGCAAAGCTTGAATCTGTAATACTTAATGTCCCTAACTGCAATATTTTGAAACGCAGAAAACTACAAAATTGTTGTTTCCAATACCCAGTGTAACAAAAGTTAAATAAAATTAAATTTATCTATTTTTTATATTTATATTGATATATATTTATTTGTTCGTTGCAAAATATTTCATTCTATAATTGAAATTTTTACTTTCATTTAACGAGTAACGAATAAACGTTAATTAAGAATTTTCCTCGTCTCTAAAAATAGCCTATTATTCTTGCTTCCATGTAAGTGCATAAAATTATACAATGCAAGTAGACGAAATTAAAAGGTTAATATGGGTACATTTATTCTTTTTAAAAAATCACTTATTAATAAGTGTAAATATCTCAAGTTTTCAGATTACGTTATATGACATTAGCAAACAGTAAAGAATAAAATTTGTATCAAAATATAATATAATTCTCGGAGTATTTTCAGTCATCAACAGTCAAAATAGAGAAACAATTTCGTTATCCGAATAAAACTATTTTAATGTGTTCTTCACGTTTCACCAAAATTCTTTTACAACAAAAAATGGCCTAAAATATATCTTTTGTAAATCTCAACCATATCTGGTATTTTACCTTATGAAACCAGAGAGAAAAAGAGTATTTACGAAATAATCCGAAGAAATTTTAATAAAGCAGTATTTGCACATAAAAGTCTGTGTCTAAAGTTGAGGGGAACCGAACTAGGAACTCAGGTGGGCCAAGAGGCCTCGAGCTATGACTATGATAAATTATACAGTAGTGACTATTGATCTCACCGCGCCTAAGGTCAGACACTACGGCAAAATCGAGTCCGAGCCAACCATCGGCCCGCGAATAAATTCAATTTTCCCGCTCTAAATAACGTAACGGTTCTTACAAACCCTGGAGAGCTCTATCGGCGATTTGTGTCCGGAAAATCACGATCACCACTGGAATATGTAAATTCAGGGTTATTGCGTGCCGATAAAGTTGTCTTGGAAAGCTACTTTAAATCTCACTTAAGAAGAATCAAAGATGTCGGCATCAAAATGCGAAGAAAGTCTTATTATCGAAAACTCCACCGATACTACACTTCCATTTTCTAAAACACATTAAGATGAATTTGAATTCTTGAAAAAATTCTTACTCCAGATTACACGCAAACTTAACCCTTACGTCAATACCGAATACTAAAGTACCATTCTCCATATTTCATTAAAAGAACGTTAACGTTCTTGTAATATCGCCAAGTTTTGAATTTTCATTCTTTGGGCAATTTTATATTGCTTTGAGTTTCAATTATTAAAAATTAGTGAGTTAATTCATTATTGAGTACAATGACTTTAAATTCGATTATACAGAATATAAAATTTTTCATCGAAACTATTTATTTACTTTGGATGGAAGTATCATTTCCTCGCTAATTGACCGTTGATAATTCTATAACTGTGAGTAGGTTTGATTATTGACATAAGAGTTAACAAATAATTAATCGAAGAATTATGTTGGCCCTAAAATCATGGTCCGTTTCGAATTGAAAAGTTTGCAAGTGCAAAAAGCAACGACTACAGCTATTCATTATTTAAATCATGTAGGTAAATTGGTGTCATTGAATTTTCCACGCATTCGCAGAAACACATGAGCGAAAGGAATTATTTAAAACGATAAACTTTGCAGAAGAAATTATAAGACCAGGTATAGCAGCGATGTAAAGATCGTTGGAAACTATGCCAGTGGTAGAAGCATTTTAAAACCAATGAGTGTTTCTAGGACTGCAAAGTACTTTATAAAGAACTTTGCAACTGCTAATAGAAAGTTGTGAAGCGCGTTTAAATAAACAATCGATCGTGCATTCAATATATTCATCGACGCTCTAAGTCTAAACTAAATAAATTGAACGATGAAATACAAAAGTATTTCGATACGGAGAAGTGTAATTACAATTTGCTAATGAAACAATAATGTTCTTTGAAATAATGCGATTCGCAAATTTAAAAAAGTATTCGTAGTTTCTGTTTTCGTACAAGTTTTCGTACAAGTTTTCACGCCCCCTAGTTGGATAATCGCTCGGAATAAATATTGATTTGGAATACACGTCGACGAAGAATCGCGAAAACGGCAAGAGGTTTCTAAGAGAGCGCTTGGCAGAAGTACAAATCGCTTTGTCTATTCTCGAGAATCCGAGAAACAATGTCCCTAGAAAGCTAAAAGGGCTTGCCAAGACGGGATTAGTCAACACACTGGATCGGAATTCGGGATGTCCGGTTTCCCGTTACGTACGAACACTTCGGACCGCCAGTAGTCTTGCCAGTTTGCGTTTCAAATTTTTGGCTTTCGTTCCCTGTAAATGTGTTACGTTTATGATGCGCGTACGAGATTGTCCGACGAAAATATATTTCTATGTATCGTGCAAAAAAGATTAAAAATGGAATTTTGGGGCTTAGATAAAATGATCATCGATCGAATAAAAATGAAAACAACAATAAAAGAAAGATAGAAATACATAAGTATTTACCCTAGAGACTATGGGAATGTGAACAGTCCTGTTTATCGCAATTCTAAAATTTAGTGACTTGTAAGATCACTCTGCGAGTCCGCGACGATGTACAGGGGCGATGATTATATCAACACTCTTAATACAATCTAATTCAGTTTATGCAAAAATAAATTAAGTTGTGGCGACCAAAGCACCACATACGCCTTAGTTTTTTGAAGCCCGCTACATTGTATGGGCGCACACGCGACGTCCAGAGCCGCGCGAGCCGAAAGGCCTGTTGTCGTCGCCTCTGATCTTCTTTTGTTTTTTCCGAATGCCCCTTGGTACGGTAACGATGATCGAACGGGGGCAGTCGAGCATAACCCGCACTACGGGTCCCGTCGTTGTACGACAGTTAGTAATAAAATTGTGCAGAACGGAATCAGCAGAGTTATGTATTACCTTCTAGATCCCACAAAGTGTAAACTATATACAAAGGTGTTTCTTAAGCATTTGTTATAATTACGAGTGGTTAATTCGACTAAAAATTATTATGTCACAGCGTGAACGAATTGAAATGTATTAGATTTTCCGTAGTTGATTTCTAACTGTCGATTTGGAGTTAATATTGGTTATTAAAACACTGTTGATTTGAGGAAAGAGGAAGCAGAAATGGGAGTGTAACTTCGCGGATCGGAAGATCTACTTTTGGACTGTCACATAATGTATGGGAGATTGTCGCTACAAGGACTGATTGGGTTTATGGTGATCTTCAAGCCTTTGACAAATTTGCACGTAAAGTGCTGCCAATGTTCAAAAGGTCAGACCACAGTTGTTGCTTGGTGTGTTTCTATTCACTTTCTGATGCGTAAAGTACAAATTCCTTTTTTTAAGTAGGGTTTCTAGAGGGTAGCAATCGACAATTCAGGATTTAGGAAGATTTCTATTGATGCACTGCTGCTGATGGTTTTCAAGAAAAACCCAGACATAACGAGTCCCAGATTTATGGCAAGCCAATAATCGACAACAGAGAATCGAAGAGTGTGCGAATAACAAAGAACAATTCGTCGATTTTCAATGCTCAACTAGCTAATTACAAACAGATGTTCTAACCATAAACCTGGGTGACGCAAACCTTACCAAGGGTTGACCCTACGTCGTCGTCGATAAGATCGAAGCCAGATGGTGGGCATCGGTACAGACGTAAGCAATAAAATCATAGGTTCGTTAAATCGTAAAAGAGAAAGATTTCGATAAATTCTCGGAAATAATTTTGAAGGGTGACTGCTGCTACATCGGATGACGTATGAGTTTATTGCTGGTACGTGCTTCTAAAAAGGTTCGCTGGATTTATACTTGTTTATGAATTTAGTGGTGACTATTTATTTTCGAATATCCGAGGGTTCGGAACTGAACAGAAAGTTATAAAAAATACAACTTGTTAATCTTCGTTGACCTCTTTGATTAATTGACAAATAACTAATCGTGATCTAATTTCTATGATTACTATATCTAAACAATACAAATCACTGAAACCAAATAACAAAATTTTTCGTAATTATAGAGAATATTGTAGTACGAAACAACTTGGATTGAATAAAGTTCGTTTATTAAAGAGACTATTAATAATTTCAAACCCGATTACATCAGGTAAAAACCACTATCACCATGCAATACAAAATCTATTAATTGTAAATATAAAAGATAATAAACTATACATATTTGCAATAGTTTTACAAAAATTGAAAAAATTAATTAATGAATATTTGTCTGTGTATGTACTTTAATGTAAGAAACTAAATTATGTGAAGTATTATCAGAACCTGCTTAGAAGACAAATTAGAAATGTTCACAAAAAATTATACCAATTTGTACTCCAATAATTACGTAGTAAAGCGAATAGAAACATTTTCATTTTGTTAAAAATGACGATGTTTATATAATAATATAAAATAATAATCATAATTGAAATGTGTTGTATTTGATAACTTGATCACTGTGGCAGTTTAACCCTTTTTACTTGTAATACCAATTCTACTGACAATCACATTAATTTCAGCAATTTCAGCATTATACAAAAATTTTCAATGTATTTAATAAAGAAAAGTGATCAAAATAACGTATTATAGTGGAATATTAATGCAATTACTTATTGAATATTTCCCTATTTGTATGAATTTTGGATCACTGTCACAAAATGTCAGGTATAAATTTCCAAGATGCAGTTGGTTATTTAAGAAATGAAAGATGCATAAGACTCACCGTCTTTCCTGTAGTAGAGGATCTCGAAATGCTTTTCGACGCCAGCGGCGAGGGCGTCGCGAAGAGCCGCGACCGCATGGGGCGACGTCATTGGCCCATGAAGGAACTCGCAGATTGCCGGTCTCTGCATCACTTCCGCCCTCGAGAAGCCCGTCAACCGGCAGAAACTGTCCGAACAGTATATTATGTGACATAGTCCGTGTTGAGCGTTGACCACTAAAAAACTTCGATCTGGAAACGAAAACACAGCAATCGATTAGCTCGAACGATCGGTGGCTCGCTTAGATCTGACAAAATTTTAAAATGACAACGCAGTCGACTCGATTCTTTGCATAAAAATCAAATGATTTTTATAAAAGAGGAATAGAAAAATTAATGGACGATCGTTAGTAGTGGTAATTAATTATTTTATCTCGCCCTTCTCAAAGAGAGAAAGACACATCCCTGGTTCAACATTCAAGAAAGAAGTTTCTGAAGACCGAGAGGCCAAAGAAATTTTGTTTAGGGCACGTAGTTTTGAAAAGCTATCTTCCTTAACTACTCCAGTCTTCGCACGACTCGTTTCTGTGTCGCAAATTTCAAATGTTTGTTAAGAGGGCGGCGAGTGTATATTTCTTGAACGAGCGTAGAGCGTCAAAATAAATCTGGAATCGCTGGAATGTTCAGAAGGACAGAGAACAGAGAGAACCTCGGCAACAGTGAATTTTCATCGGCTCATTAGCGCGCGTAGTTGGCATGCCTTCTGAGTATATCCGAAATTAACTTTTCTCGTTAAACGCGACGTAGAGATGGACAAGCTAACGGGAACGGACGGTTCTGGACGTTCAAGTATTTATAGATCGACGATTCTTCAAAATTGAGACGAGGACGAATCGCGTGGGAAGCAGTCGGAAAACGCGACGATTTTCGTCGAAAGAAAACAAAAATCAAGAACCGCGATTAAACGCTTCCTTAGAAACGAAACCTTGAAATACGTACTAATAGAACGAACCATATGGGACAACGTTATAAGCATAGAACACATTCAATTACTTATTTGTAATAATATTTATTGATTTCTTACGGAATTATGACGAAATATTAACACTAGATTTACGGATGTTGATTATACATTGTGTAAAATGAGTTTCACAGTGCATGTATTGAAACAAATTTTTGTGTGTAAGTAGGCAACATTGTATTCAGATCGCGATATGACAACCAGTGTATTCACGGCAGTTATTAACTCCAGTCGATCTCGAGTGTGCTCTGCGATTTTTGCGATAGAAAGAACTGTCGAGCAAAGAATTTGCCTTAAATTTTGTGTTTCTAACGAAATTTCTTGTGCCGAAGCGTTAAATATGTTACAGAAAGCTTATGGTAAGTGGTGCCTATCAAAAACGCGATTATACGAATGGCATAAGGCATTTAAAGAGGGCCGAGAAGAAGTGCAAGATGTGCCGCGTGCCGGCCGACTGTCAATGGTTTCGACTGACAAAACCATTTTTGGGCATGAGACGCGTCACTGCAAGACTTGTTCCGAAGGAACTGAATTTTCTGCAAAAAGAACATCGAAAAGCAGTTGCTGAAGACATGATTTCATGAGTTTCTAGTAACTTTACCTTCATGAAACGCATCATAACCAGTGACAAAACATGGGTTTATGAGTACGATATGCAAACAAGTCAACAATCTTCGGAATATCGCTTAGAAAATGAATCAAACTCTAAAAAACCGCATTGAAGTCGCTCGAAAATTAAGTCCATGCTCACTGTTTTCCTTGATTATCGTGGTGTTGTTCATTCGGAATTCCTTCCAGATGGACAAACAGTAAATAATGAATATTATTTGATCGCCATGAGACGCTTGTGTGAAAATATTCGTCGGAAACGGCCAGATGTGTGGAAAAACAATTCTTGGATCCTGCACCACGATTATGCTCCGTCGCACACATCGATCTTGGTACGCGAATTTTTGGCCAAGAACTCAACAAATGTGATCAAACAAGCACCGTATTCACCAGATATGGGCCCCTGTGAATTTTTTTTATTTCCAAAACTCATATTACCCCTTCAGGGAAGGCGTTTTGAGTCGATAGAGGCCATAAAAGAAAATTCGCAGAAGGAGCTGAAGGCGCTACCTTCTTCAGCGTTTAAAAAGTGTTTTGAAGACTGGGAGAAGCGTTGGCGTATGTGCATTGCTTCCGATGGGATCTATCTTGAAGGCGACAAAATAAATTTGGATGATTAAGTAAGCAATTTGAGTTTTATTTACAAATTCCGGGTACTTATTTTACATAATGTATACCTATTTTTACTAAAGTGAGCCAGTTTGACTCGTAGAACAAAATTCAAGTTTTTAGCAGAAAAATAGTTCCAAATCAATTTAAATGAAAGATTTAATATTAAAAATTTTATTAAAAACATTTTTTACGTATACACTCTGTTTTTTAAATACGTTTAGCAAAAGAAATTTTTTCTGATTTTTTCCAACGATGGCAACCCTACGTAATTAGATGTAAAATAAATATCAATTAAAATACTTTTTACAAATAAATTTGGTGGACCAAATTATTTGACAAAAAATTGATTTTATAAAATTATAGTATTTTACTAAAAATACTCTGTTTACGCGCGATGAATAAATCGGAATTATGAAATAGCTTCTTTTGGTCTCAACTAACTAATAAATTGACAAGATTGAATATGAATGTTTACACATTAGGTGTTTTTTAAAATTCAGATAAGAACTTTCTTCATGTAAATCATAGATTTCATGTGTTCAAAACAATTAACTGTTGAATCATTTTATGAGTCAAATTGGCTCATAGCCGTAAAAATAACTATACCATATTCGACAATGCGAAATGGAGTCAGTATATGTACATATCGGTCGATATACATATATTTCATTACGTAAGTAAAAACCAACATATTAATTAAAAAATAATATTTAGGTTTTATATACAGGGTGTTCGGCCACCCCTGGGAAAAATTTTAATGAGAGATTCTAGAGGCCAAAATAAGACGAAAATCAAGAATATCAATTTCTTGACTGAGGCTCCATTAAAAATTTAATTAAAAAATTTCAAATCATTCTGAAAAAATTATTTTTGGTTGCGGGGCTCAATTGCAATCATTTTTGGTGAAAACACATACCCCTGAAATCCTACCCACTTTCGAGAAAAAAATTTAAGTAGGTACTGAACTTTTTTGACGAAATTAAAAAATTTCAAAACATACTAAAAAAATTATATTTAATTACAGGAAAAAGATTCATTCGAATCTTTAAAATGTCATAACTCCTGAACGGATTGGAGGATTCTACAAACAACGCGTATTTTGTCGAAGAATATGTGGAAATTCTAGAAATATTCGCGGAGTTATTCCTTGACCCCTCAAAATCAGAAAACCCTAAAAAAATGGTACAATTTTCAAACAGTCATAACTCCTACAATAGTGAATATATTTCATTGAAATTTAGGGGGGAAGTAGAGTTCATGGATACCTACAAAAAAGTAGTACATAACTTTTCCGTACAGCATTAACCAAATTTGTTAGAAATGAAAAACGAATTTCTAAGATAAATCGACAGTGGGTAAAAAGTAACTTACCTTTCGGCGAAAAAAAAATTTGAAATCGTTCTGGAAAAATTATTTTCGGTTGCGGGGGTCAATTACAATAATTTTTAGTGAATAGACCTACCCCCGAAATCCTACCCACTTTCTAGAAAAAAATTCAGTACGGACGGAACTTTAAACGTTAATAACTTTTTAACGAAGTCTCCATCAACAAATTAGTACTCTTGATTTTTGTCTTATTTTGGCCTCTAGAATCTCCCCTTAAAATTTTTCCCAGGGGTGGCCGAACACCTTGTATTTATATGGTAATAAAATTTTAAATATGTCAAATTAGCTCAGTCCGTAAATGTAGTGTTAAACAGATACAGATATTCAAGATTTCTAAGCACGGTTCTTTTTTACTTTTCGAAAAACGTAGCCATCATCGTACGGGGAAGTTGTATTTCCGATCAGGTAGGGCTCCGTCTCATAATTCGAGAAACGTTTAAAGACTTTTAAACAACACGTCCGACGATGAATGGATAGGAACAAGCAGACCTGTGAAATGGCCGTATTGTCGTTAATTTCGTTTCTCGTAAAAGTCTTCGAAATGCTGAGAGCAACGGAGAATAACGAAACTGCTCCGATAGGGCAACAGGAATAAAGTGTTTCGCGTATCAAGTTGTGTGGCAATAAGAGGTTCTGAAATAGCAAAATCGCGAAATTTCGCGTTCCCATTGCGACCTTCGTCCTAAATCCGGCATCAGCATTTACAGTGCACACCATAAAATATTTTGGTACCAAGCCGTTAAGCTTGTCTGCTGCAGACGTCGTAAGCCTCGTTTCACACGACGGCGACACTTTTGGACATTTTTTACGACACGTGTCAAAGAAGCTCCCTCCCGTGTGAAGTATACACGCGTAATGCTAAAGTCGACAAGCACTGACACGCTTGCATCCGCTTCAGCTAGAGAGAAACTAATATCGTGACTGGCAAGGCAGTTGTTTATTTGACGCGTTAACTGCCAGACCAAATTCGTGATATTTTCTACGAAATGAAAATTTGTTTTCACATAATTTCAAACTACTTAATCAAAAACTTATTTTCTTCGACACTTTGCATTATGAATTAATTTTGTTACTTGTATATGATATAATTATTTCACATTCGGTATAAGAATTGCGATACTTGTAGAAAAATGTCTATAAGCGTCGTAAAATATTTTATGAGTAATTTTGAAACTGTTTATTGGGGAATAAATTTTGTAAATATAGCGATAGTATTAAAAGCTGATGACCAAAACCTCTGAATCAATGTCACGAAGAACGAGAAGCTTGTTTCTAGTGCACGAAGCATCCTCCATAAGAAAACTTTATTCCCTGTTGACAAACCTAATTGCGGAGGTTTCCTTACGTTTCGTTGATCCGAAGTATTTACAGACTGCGTACATTATTCGAAACAACTGCGGTGGAAGCCATGAGTGGACGTCTGCGATATCACACGCGGACAAACGGAACAAATTTGATGAGGGTCGTTACAGAAGTTTACCAGGTGTTTTCAACTCTCGGATGTTCAACGAACCCAAGACTTCTCGTAGCATACCGTCATACCCAACGCAAAGTTCAAAATACCATATTACTGTTCATTCGAAGTTGATTAATTGAAATTAAATCATTAATTTCGAAGATATTT